CGACGGGAACGACGGGCACAACGGAGGTTGGTGGTGCAAGTCGATCGGTCGGTCGCGGGAAGCGCTGCGTGAGACAGAAGGTATCGCGGCAGGTACTATGTATGGCGCCAGACAGCGAGCGTGAGGTATCGGGTCGTACTCGTGGCGCGCGCGATCGCAATCGGAGAGTGACGTTGGAGAGGAGGAAGAGAAAGTTCGAGGGACGTCGAGGGCAAAAAGAACAGCAAAGCCAAAAGAGAGGACGGATGGATGACAGAGACAAGAAGAAGACAGGGTGCCCCGGACGAGGAGTGCGGCCGAGCTCGAGATGCGTGGAGGAGGAAACGGGCCGTCGCAAGTGGATTGATTGGAGCTGAACCAGCCTTGCTTGCGAGGGAGAGATTGAGCAAGGAAGAGGGTACCCAGCCAAAGTGACGAAGAAGAGGCGGAAGCGAAGGAAGAGAAAATGAGGATGACACGCAGGAACTGAGGCGGTTTGGATGGCAGGCAGGCAGGCACGGCAGGCAGCCTCTTGGAGATGAAGAAATAGCCACCAAAGCCAAGGCCTGCGCTAGAATAAAAAGGACCGGGGCGGCGGGACTGGAGTTTTGGATGGCGTGGGGAGCTATCACTGCATGTGTAGAGTGTGTAGAGTGTAGAGGGAGAACTTGAGAACTTGAGAAGGGGGGGACGGGCCAAACGGCAGGATACTTTGGTTTAGTGTTTAGCTTCAGCTGCCTACCCAGGTATATCACCGTACTGGATGCTTCGGTCCCGCTGTCCGTTCGGGTTTGTTTGCCCTCGAAACGGCCCTCAGTAGGTATCCAGCTTCACATTGACGCGTTGAGCCAGGCGCGCGCATTGATGGGAACAGGCAGGGACCGGGGGCCAAGAATTGACGATGTCGATGCTCTGTGGTTGATCCACGGACGTTACTAGTATGTAGGCCTCAAGGACTCTCTGTAGAGAGAGAGCGTGAGAGTGAGTGAGAGTGAGACCCCCACCACGAATGCTCACAGTGTTGGAGGTAAAGGAGCTTGGGAAACTTTGAATTCAATGTTAACTTTTAAGTGGAGACCCTCTCAAGTACCTGCACTTCCTATGCGGTTTTCTCTCGCTTGGCATCAAGGAGGGAAACAGCCATGCTCGGGATGGGCCAATGGGCAAGCCACAGAGAAGCTTGGCGGCCTAAAACTGCCACCACACTGCACCGTGGACTGTGGGCGTGTGGGCACCCCGATGGAAAAAGAAGGACCACTGTGACCTTCGCCTGGTACCTTAGGTACGTACCGACAGGGGCGACGGTGCTTGTGCTGGATTGGCGCCGTTTGGTTGGCTCGCGACGGTAAGGCCAGCTCGGTTAATTACGGACGGACGGCGAGACGGCAGGCGCAATGGATGGAAAGTGTACAAGTACGGTGCAATCTGCCAATACGACACGACACAGGCACCCAAAGTAAGGGAACATAAACATAGGCTGGCAATTCGCCTCAACTTGACAGACCGGACAATGGGACTGATGCAGGAGGGGAAGCGCGCCGCTGCACCGTCTGTCAGATGAACCCCCCCTCCCTCCATCTACTGCGTAAAATCTAAAAGATGAGCATGTGCATTCGCGACAGGTGTACTCTGTAGCGTTCCATTGCTTTCACCAACGGCTACACAACGCCGTGTAGCCCCAACCCAAGCCCGCGCCGTTTGACTCTCCTTTGTGCCCCCCTTGCGTTTCCATGCCGTATCCTCGCACCAACTTCCTTTTGATCTGTAGCCCAGAAAAAACAGAGTCTCGACAAGTCCCCGAGTCAAGTCAAGCTTTTTTAGCTTTCTCTTTCTCGTTTCGCTTCTTGTTGCTGCTGCTGCCGTTTTCCCAGTTCCCCATCTAGTATGGATGATCTTGCTTAGGTACTAGCCTCTAGGTAGCCAACCATGTTCCCTCGTTACCTCTTGAGTACTAGGTGGTTTGAAGGTGCAGCAGTGAGTCCCTGTCGCTCCACCATGACGCCACTCTGTGAGTTCGCACCTGCTGAAAAGGAAACTGCCTTCAGTGCCCCTGAAAATGCGCCCGTCCTCATCCTGACTGCACCCGCGAAATTGCCACAGATTCATCGCGCCTGTCTCAATCAACTCTAAACTCCAGTCTTCATTCGCGCCCAAAACCTTGGAAAAGAAGTAATCATGGATACGCAGTACATAATCCAGACTCTTGACAACTCGTTTATAGCAGTTGGTCGCTTCGCAGTCTGCCGCCTCATGAGCTGGCAGCTGACATTCAGCTGCTCTGCGCCAGCCTGCTTTGCCACGCAAATCCGGGCGGAAGGCGCCCCCCCCCCCCTATTTTTGCATCTCGGCTGCGGGATTCCGCCATCTTCTGCCATCTCTGGCTGTCCATGTCAAGAGCACCTCTTCTTCTTTCAATCCCCAAGCCAAGAGCATGTCAACCACAGACTAGTCTTGTCGGACACATTTTCATGTCCACTACCTAGTTCCCGCGTAGCCACCTTCCTAGCCCACCTTCATGACTTTTGCCAAGTCACCATACTGATGAGACAGTGAGCAGTCGTCCGTTTCTCTCCTTTTAAATGTGTCCACCAGACTTGTCTTTGATGCAGATGGCCCCGTTTCCCCATCGCCTGAGTCGGGTTCCGCGGCCGCTTCATCACCCAGCATCCTGGTCGGCCGCCGCCGTCCCGTCGCAGCCACCCGGCCTGGCTACGACCCCAATCTCGACGCCGATTCATCCGTTTCAATCCCGAAATTCCCTCGCGGATATCTCACTTTATTTGCCTTCAAGCCGCCCCATTGCCATCATACTCGGGTCCTACCTCATCTCCCGAGCCCGCCACTCGTTGCCATTCAGAATGCTCATCCGCTCTCGTACTCAATGCTCCTTTGCGTACTGCTGCCACTATCCTTATTACTATGTACATTTCAGAATCCGGCCGGTCCACCATGGGCCGCAACACTCTGTCATCAGCTACTTAAGCTGCATGTCTGTGACTGTTTGAAGGGAACAAGCTACAAATTGCCGCTCTCGTCGCATGAGAAAAATAATTCTAGCTTGACTTGATGCGCCTGCATGAAACTTCCCGTTTTGAGCTGCCAGATTCATCTCATCTTCCCAGCTTGTGTGTTAAAATACAGCACCTTGGCCAATATTGTTACGCTTGAAGCCGGCAATCGCTTTTGGTTTTGGTAACAGCACCGCCTGGCCTCCATGTTATCATGTTGCTCTCGCTGTCATCGCTTGGACTCCCTTGGGATATTAGGCAGTTATGTGACGATTTTGTTGACAGAGGTTTGTCCGGGGCATTGTGGACAATTTCTACAGAAAGTGTCTTCTACCTACGCGCCAGACGCTCCTTCCTGATCTCCGATGAGATGATGTGGTAGAAGCTGTACATCCGTTGAAACACACAAACTACGGAAACCTTCATACAAGTGCAAGCGCAAAAGTAGGAGCCGCTGTTAGCAACGCTTGAAATGGGGTCTCCCCAGGTTCAAGTTATTATTTTCACCAGAGATGATTGTTTACATGATCTTACTCTGCTCCGCTACCCGACGAATGACATTTTGGTTCCTTGCCATTACGGATACATAGGTAAATGGAAGTTATTTACCAGGTTGCGGTTATTCTTCTCCTCGGAGTTCCTTGCTAAGAGGCGCCTGTCGCGTCCAAATGTTCATGCCAACCTTCTGCCCACTGGTCACAGGCAGCCCGGCGTGCAGATTTCGCTGGTCTCCAGTGCCATCCCACAAAAGATTCTCCCAGTACACAAAATTGCCTTCCACCGGACGGAACGTCACCCCATTCTCCCAAGGCTCGTCGCAGTCGATAAATTCGCACCACCGTTCGTCGTGAGGGGCATCTAACATGGGGAAGTTGGTTCCCCCGCCCGTCACGTTGACAACAGAGACATATCCAAAGAAGGACGACATCCGATTCCCGCCCTGAGATGCCGTGGTGTGCTTGGGATCTGTGAACCAGTCGGTGTGGAAGTGATACCGCTGGCCCTGCCCATACTTGACTAGTTGCAGGGGTTCAATGTGACTCTTGGGCATGCTGTAGCCTTGGAACGCGATGGCACGGTCCTCGATACAGCGAACGGCATCATCTCGCCATAGAGCTGTGCTCTGCGAGGTGCGGACTTGATGGGTTGTCTTTCCACCGGCTGCGTCGATGACGCCGGAGTGGGTGAAGGTCTCGCTTCTATGGATTGTCAGCGGGGTGGCAGGCAAGCATGGGAATAGATATCTCGGTTCACTCACCCAAGCTCCAGGAGATGTTTTCGTTCGGCTGGTGTAACGAAATCTGGGATGTAAATGACCAGTGGCGATTTCGAGACGATGTGCATCTTGTATGGTGGATGAGTGCATTGGTAGTTGGTCATTGGCTTCTGCTCGTGTCCGACAACTGGGGTTGCCAGTGCTGCCACGAGGGCCAACGTTTTTGCTGCTGCTAGGAACCCCATCTCGCTCACTTCGACGTATCAGGATAAGGAGAGTGGTGTTCGGGAGTGGGAGTCTCACGATATCCCTTTTATCAATCAGTCAAGCCAACAGCTAAAGCCGGATGACGGATCCGATGGAGGAGCTGATGAAACTCAATGTGTTTTGGGGCTGGCGTTCACAGGCTGGTGGCTTTACTCTCTGAGCAAGTCGGAGGCTAGTTCAGGGGCTTCCTTGTCTGATCTTCGTGGCTCAAGGGGTGAAAACGGCGCGATTATGGGGCGTCGGCCCCCAAAGCACTGGGGTAATCCCCCGGAACGCGTTGGAACCTAAAGCTCCCCCGAGCTCTTTTTCAACGTCGTCTGGTTTTTCATTCTCTTCTCAGTCATTGACGAGGTGACACGGGATCCAAATCTTTTATAATGTTTTTGAACACAGTCGGTTTGGTGCTAGGCGCTGCACAAGTCGTGCATTGTTGAAAATTCGCGACCGCGGACGAGTTTCGCAGTGCCTTAACGAGGAACCAAGACACGTTGGTTGCTTGTGAGCACATCATCCCTGATCTGGCCCCAAACATGAGTTCTGACCTGTCCCAGTCGTTGCGGTGAGCTCTTCTCTTGGATTTGATAACTACTACAGAAACCCGTTTTCTGATCTACATTAGCCTTCAAGGTATGGCCTGCCATTGTCAGGAAGACGACGCCGAACACATTGTACTGATTCGTATTGCAGCGCCGCAAGCGACAGCCTCGAACCCCAATGGGCAGAGGTTCATCAAGAACACCCGAACGCCATCGCAGTCGACTGTCTCCACGACCGTTCTCTCTGCGACGAGACTGATCTAGCGTCTTTCCCAGCCATCAGACTGTATCTTAAAGACGGCAGCATGCAAAGATACCGCGGGCCCCGCAGGACTAAAGAGTATTTGTCCCATTTTGAAATCTGAGGGATTCATGGCTAAAGGTTACCGACAGTATCACGGCTTTTGTGAAGAGATTGTCGCGTCCAGTAATCACATATGTCACGCAAAATGCTGCAAGTGACTTCTCAAAGAGCGACAATGTTGTTCTCGTCGCCAGACTGGCGAATAACGACGACAGTCTGCGAGTAAGATTTGACAATTTAGCAAAGCATTACCATGACCGATATTCATTTGGTGTGGTCGTCTAGCGTGAGCTGCCATAACAATCTTGACAGCCTCCAGTTCAATGCAAACGACCTTTCGGCAGTTGATGCGTTACAGTCGCTCATCCGTCAGTGCTCCACACCTCTCGTGGCACAGCTCACGCGGAGGAACGAGATGGAACACTTGAGTGTAAGTTTTCACAGTCGAGACATGTATCTGAGTGGGCTCTTACTGCTACCAGGCTGGCAAATCGCTTGTATACTTCTTTGCCTCTGACCACGAGCGACGGGAAGAGTATTCCAGCGACATCAGACAGCCCGCAAGAAACTTTCAGGAGTACCTCAACTTTGTTACTGTGGACTCTAGCGAGTATTCCGACATGCTAGTAGGGCTAGGACTTCCAAAAGACGTATCTGAAGCATTGGCGCTTCAGAACCCCCAAACTGGACAGATTTTCCCGTACATTGGCAAACTTGACACCAAAAGCGTGGAAAGTTTCATTGTCGATATTTCCGAGGGCAACGTCCAGCCTTGGGATGGTCAGTCGCCAGTGGCAGAGCAGGATGGGGTCCAGAGTGTGCATGATGAATTGTAGGCATTAGCTGCCAGCTCTTAATATCTCCAGCCAAATTTTAAGCTGGAAGTATCAACGAACTAGACAGAATTCGAGATGTCGAATAACAGCATACTAGTTTGCCATACGTTGCGATGCGAACCTCGGCAGAACCAGATCATGTCGCCCACTCAAGTTCGTAGGAGATGGGGGCGTCAGCATGGCAGGTCGTCGCGACCAATTACTGCACAGTTCCCGTCTGACTCATCCAAACATTTGGTGCTTCGGAGCAAAAGGCCAAAAGTTATCTTTGCCCTCCGTCACCATGAAAGATTTGGACCAAACCGCCTGTCAAAATGGACCAATACCGGTATGACATGATCCTTCCAATGTCGATTCTCTGCAGTCACTGCCAGGCGATCCCTCTCAACAATGACCAACTCGGCAGTCATGGAACAGTAGCAGCAGATGGGTCACAGTATCTTGACTTTGACAGCGAGTGTGAATCTTTCGAGATTCCGATTGGCTGGCATTTCGAAATCAGTTGGCCATCACTCGAACAACTCCATGCTCGTCTGCAAAGTTTCTATTGCCCAATTTGTCGTTGGATTAAAGACGCACTCACTGAGATTGGTGCGGACAGAATGTTTGAGTTGCATGAAATCAAACGATATGTCAAGACATCGTTATCTTACGCATGGGGCCTGTATCCTAGAGCTGCAAGACGCGGGCTTCGGGCGTTAGTAATGAATGCCCACTTTCACTCCCACAGCAAAAGTAAGAAATGGTGTAGTTCTTATGGTTAGACATTGACCAGTAATACAGATTTGATAAAAAGTCTTTCCGTTGATTTTCGAATCACGTCCAGCAGAGTGATTCCCACCTACACATCATCGGGTAGCTATTGAACATGACACTTCATTGAAAAGGCAGGAAGACTAATGTCCTGGCCTTGTAGATAGTCTAGGCGCACAACCCGCTGCTTCATGGCTCAGTCTTGGCGACCCAATCTCTTACCTGGATCCTGAATACGTTCAATGGATGGAAGAGAAGCTTTCCTTGTGCGAAAACCATACACAAGTTTGTCATCCCATGGCACGAGAGCATTTGATTCCCGACAGACTCATAGACGTGTCCAATTATGCTCTCAAAATTGTTCCAAAAAGGGAAATATGGCAGGGACCCGAAACCTTTGACCGAAGATATGCGGCCCTGACCTACTGTTGGGGAAAGAAAGAAGATGCCTTAGCTCAGGCAAAATTGACCACGGCGAACATGGCCCAAAGGCTTCAGAATTTTGATTTCTCAGAGCTCACCATTACAATCCAAGAATCCATAATGGTCACCAGAGCTCTTGGATTGAGATATCTCTGGGTCGACGCACTCTGTATCAAATAGGGTGCTGGAAGCGACTGGGCCATCCAGTGCGCCATCATGGACAAGATTTATCGCAATGCATACGTAACTGTCTGCGCGTTAGGGTCGGCCAGCTGTCGGCAAGGGTTTCTGCAGAAGCGAGCAAAGATGACTCTACCTTTTCAATCCCGACTTCATCCCAGCATCACAGGCTCGTTTGCAGCTGACCAGCCAGTCATCCGCGAGACAGGACACTGTCTGGACCCTTGGTCAATGGATTATGATGTCGCAGAGAGTAATTGGGACGACAGAGAATGGAACTTCCAGGAAAACGTGCTTTCAACACGAATATTGCTATTTGGGAAGCGCAGTGTCCATTTCTCTTGCTCCGAATTTCACGTTTCCAAGCAATGCCGTCACTGGGCTGGGAGCGAATCATTTCAATTTCCATCAGCGAAGCATATGGAGTATGACCGCGTTGAACTTTATGATAAATGGTCTTCCCGCCTTGTCACCTCTTACACGGATCGGACCAAAACCCTGACAGTTGGAACGGACGTTTTACCAGCATTTGCGGGCACAGCTCGCCTGTTCCAGGATCTAAGTTGCGAGAAATATGTAGCAGGACTCTGGAAAGGGGACCTCCACCGGGCATTGGTATGGATGCGCGCTGAGGCAGCAGATGACCGAGTCTGGCTGGATGGGCTATTGAGCCCCAAGACTTACATGGGACCCTCATGGAGCTGGGCCAGACTTGCCCACATGTGCGACGGAGTTGCCTTCCCCATATACCAAGTCGGAGAGCACGCTGTGTTTTCATACACCCGCTGTCAGCCAGAGTATGATCTGCATCATTTCGAGGCTACGCCGTCCGGGCCCAATCAATTTGGTGCGGTATCCAACGGCGTATTGGAGATTACCACCAAATCGCTTCCTCTTAAATCCAGCATGTCGACGACACAGGAACAGGCGGCGTGGTGCGACGAAAGCATTTTACGGCTTCAATACGATGGAAAAACCACCGTCGATGCACAGTTGGACTTTGAATGTCTCCGAAATGATACCGTGATGGTTCCTTTGGGGGTGGAGGCTTCAAGACTTCGATTGATCCTCATTGGGAGTACGATCGAAGAGCCCAAGGCAAATGATTTCTGTGGAGACGATGCTGAGAGCGACGAATGGATAGAATGCCGCATTGATCATAATGAGCAGAGTGGAGTGCGTCGTCCCACTGAAGGAAAACAGCCGTTAAGACCTATAGCAAAGAAGCATCGAACGGCATATGGGTTGGTGGTCTACCCGACGCTCGTGAGTGGAGAGTTCTACCGGGTTGGGATATTCTTCTCTACACCGCAGTCAGGGGCAGGACTTGATGCTTTTGAGCTGTCTCATACGGAGAGAATATCTATTGTCCAGGGAAGTCTCAAGTGTATATCCTTCCTCCTTACTCATTCAGATCCGTACAGAAGCTACGGATCATACGGTCCTGTAGCTCGGCGACCTGTGAGTAGTTCGGCTTCTCCAGACTCTTTGACGAGATAGATGTCTTCATGTCTTACACCAAACCTGTTCTCAAGGTAGATGCCTGGCTCATTGGTGAAGGTCATGCCCGGCTGAAGCAAAACTTGGTTGTTCCACTTATTTAAGTAAGGGGACTCGTGGGCTAAGAAACGTTAGCAATCATACGTGGGTCTCGGCGGCGGGTACGAAAACTCACCTTTGATACCAATGCCATGTCCCAGACGGTGAGTAAAACCGTAACCGTAGCCTGCATCCTCAATAACGGTGCGCGCGGCAATGTCAACACTGGCAGCCGTGTTGTTCGGCTTGAAAGCAGCAGCAGCCGCAGTCTGTGCTTCCAGCACAACGTCCCAGACCTTGAACTTCTCCGCTCGGAGCTCGGAGGTCATTTCAGAGGTATGCATTGTTGATGACTTCCTGAGAAGTCCCAGGAGCATGCCAATTATGCTGCGGCTTTCTATCTTGGGCGGGTCAATGAAGAAACTGCGACAGATGTCCGAGCTGTAACCCAAAAAGTGAGCGCCAACATCAATGACAACCATGCTCTCGGTCGTCAACTTCTTCCAGCCAGTGACGAAGCCGCCATGGGGTAAGGCTCCGTGCTCTTCAAACAGAACAATGTTGAAGAAGAGTTGGAAGTCGATGGACAAAAGAGCACCGTTCAGGATTTCGGTTACCTCATCTTCGGTGAGACCAGGAACCAGGCAAGGCCGCATTGCCCTAACCGCAACCACGGTCCCGGTGTTGACGGCGCGGAGCAGCTCTACTTCTGCAGGAGTCTTCTGTTGTCGCACAAGCTCCACTTCCGGGTTCAGACCGACGGTCTCAAATCCGACGGAGCCCAGACCACGGACGATGTAATCACGCATCTCCTCATCAACCATGACTTTGGCCTTGTGGCCATCGAAGAGACGCGACTTAAGTAGTGTATCGTATGGATTCCAGTGCTCTTCCCAGATCACAATGTCAAGATCCTCGTCTCTAGAAGGAATTCCCAACATGCGAACTCGGCCCTCTTCGAAATGGGGGGACAGAAAGGCTGTTTTGGCAGTGACTTCACCAGATGATGAGGTCTGAGGCAAGACCAACATCAGAAACGGTCGCTCCTCAGGCTCCCATGGCTCCCAATCAACCTGGGAAATATTGCCATAGTATCTTTTCCAACGTCAGAACGGACAGAGAGGCTATATTCACAGGGCGGACTAGCTTACTGAAAAGTGTAGCCGGGTTCAAGTACGAAGGCGTCTACACCTGTAGCGGCTAAGGCCCTGGCGAGACGATCCCGTCGCTCAATGAACTCGTTGCTGGAAATGGGCACAGCAGAGTGGAGAAATGACAAGTCAGACTTCAAGTTGTCGATGGCGCACTGCTGAACCTTTTGGAAGACTGTTTGTTGGCTGACGTGGGATAAAGAAGATTTGTAGAAGGTGATAGCCAAAAGAAAGAGCGCAGTCACAACAAGGGGAACCATTCGGGTATGGCTCGCCTTCGGATGCGGCGTCGGAGCCGGAAAGGCTGGAGCGCGTCTGGGATGCTTCTCTGGATTGGGCATCGGTCGTTTTGTATCTTCAACAGACAATTGTAAGATTTGTCGAGTCGAACTGACGAATGGATTTGTGTTTTTCTGATTTTTTCGCGAGTGAGAAAATGACAGGCAACTGCAGAGACAACGGAGGATGAACTGCCGAGAGGTCGGATGTCGGGGGCTGTCCGACTTCGCGCACCAACCCCTCTCCGGGGTGCAGCAGATGCGGATCATTTCCTGGCTTTGGAATGTTCCCCACACGAGTCACGCCAGCCACGCAGCAGGTACCAACACTTGCAGCAACCAACTCGTATCATTCGCAAGGGTGTTGATAACGCATGCGTGTTTCCCTCGGGTTACATCGCCGAACCGGACCAGCAGATAGGAATGCAATCGCTGCCTGTTATTTGCCGAAGACCTGAGGAACCCGGTCCGGAGGGTTGGGTGAGATATCGAGCCGCGGTAATGAGTAAAATGGATGGGTGGTCCGCCGGAGTTTGGAGAGGATTGTCGTTACCCTCTTCTCTCCCGGGTTTGCCCATCAATCTTATGTTTTGCTCGTGGAACTGCAGCGAACCGGCACTATGAGCGCCGAACCAACACACGACATCGACGCGCCCGCAAAGTTGCCGACGACTTTTGCGGGCAGCGACAAGATTGCAACCGATGATGCAAAGGCGGCTGCGAACGTGGAGAAAGGAAAGATAGACATTATGACGGAGGAGCCTGAGAAGACCTATTACAGCACCGTTTCTGTCTGGCTTATGGTCTTATTCTCTGGCTTGGCGATTGGTTCTGACGGATAGTATGACTCTTTCCGAACTCTCGTCATGTCTAGTCTTAATCCCTCTTGACGTCCGAAACTGACAGTTGTCTCTACAGCAATGCCGCCGTCATTGGCAATGTGGAGCTGCTGCTCGCTATTCTATATCCCGACGAATTAACTGACACAATCTACCAGCGTCTGTCTAATGCGTTTCTCATCGGAATGATTGTTGGCATGCTGCTTTTTGGCGTGGTAGTTGACCAACTTGGACGAAAGACCGGCGCCGTTGCAACCACAGTTCTGTTGGTGCTGGGCATCACGCTCTCCACGGCGGCCAGCGGAACAAACCCGACTGGAATGTTCTGGATGTTGATTGTGGCTCGCGGTATAGCCGGCGTTGGTGCTGGTGGAGAGTATCCCGTGTCAGGCGCTGGTGCAGCCGAAGCCACAGACGAAGACGCCAAGTATCGCAAGAGGAGAGGCTTCATGTTCGCCATGTTGGCGGATTTGTCAAGCAGTCTGGGATATATCTGGGGCGCTTTGGTGCCCCTGCTTCTCTTACTGTGTGTTGGTCAGCAAGTTTCTAAGTATGACATCGTCTGGCGAACATCTTTTGCTCTCGGAATGGCACCCCCGCTTCTCATTTTCTGGTTCAGGATGCGCATGGCCGTTTCAACAGCATACCGCAAGTCAGCAATGCGTAAGCAGCGCACTCCTTACTGGCTGGCTTTGAAAAGATATTGGAGGCCTCTCATCGGCTCCGCTTCGACCTGGTTCCTATACAACTGGATCAGCATTCCTTTTGGTATTTTCAGCTCTACCATCATGTCTCGAGCCAACGCCGGTGACAGCCTCGTGAAAACACTTGGATGGGGTGTCGTGATCAACTGCTTTTACGTACCCGGTCCCTTCATCGGAGGATATCTCTCCGACAAGATTGGTCGACGTCAGACAATGGCCTTGGGGTTCACACTGCAGGCAATCCTTGGATTTGTCCTCGGTGGAGCGATGAACCCTATCCAAAAGATCTTCCCATTGTTCGTCGTGTTGTACGGTATTTTCTTGACGTTGGGCGAAGTTGGGCCTGGAAGGTAAGCGAGACATCGGCGGGCCGCCTGGACTCGTGGGAAAACCTCGACTGACATGATGTCTAGTACGGTTGTCTTGACTGCTTCGGAGTGTTTTCCAACCTCCATCAGAGGACAGATGATGGGTCTAATCTCGGCTTTCTCAAAAGCTGGGGCAGCTATTGGGACACAGGTAACTTCGTCTCTTCCCACTAGATTGTGGCTTTTACTCAAATTAACTTGTTCAAGGTATTCACGGCCATTCTCAACTCTTACACGTCGGATCCCTCGAAAGGAAACCAAGTCGCATTCTTGATTGGCTCAGGATTCGCTGTCCTGGGTGCCATAATCGCACTGTTTGTCATTCCGGACGTGTCTCGCCGGCTGAACGATGACGATGAGGCTTGGAAAAAATACCTGCAGGAGAACGGCTGGGAGGCACAGTGGGGCGACGAGGTTACTCGAGATCCATCGGGAGTCATAATGAACAAGGCCGCCTCCTGAGAACCTAATTCTCAGTCGCATCAGACCTCGGATCGGATGAATAGTCACCCAAGGGTCTGTTTGGCCGAGCCTGACGAGTTACCGAGTCTGGGAGCTAGTTTTCTACTGCTGCTGCTGCTGCTCGGACAGACTTTGACAATGGCGATGCTCGACATCCCCCGTGTGATCCGTGTCTGATCAATTGATAAGTCCAATCTGATTCTTTTCCTGAAGCCTGAAAAATGCGACCGAGGCACTTTGACATGATGACGGTTGGTTGTGTGATTTGTGTCTTGTCAAGCGGCATGGCAAGGTGCCATTCGGTCAAGATCCCCTTGCGATGATCCTTGCTGACCTACCTATTGAGGATTAGCGAGCCAAAAATACGAGAGCCAAGAAAACGGACTGGTCACCGGCGATTCCCATTTCTGTTGAGTGATCAAAGCCAAAGCATAAAACATAAAATCTCCCCCCGGAAAGGCGAGTTTCTTTCAAGTTTGAAACCCAACGTGTCAAAATGAGGTTCAATCTGTGTGTTCTTTTGAGTGGTGTTCTTTCTGGCCTTGCCCAACTCCTGGCAGATCAAGACCTTGCGATTCCGGATAAGTACATCATCAGTCTGAAGGCGAACATACCCGAGACTGCCGTTGAAAACCATCTCAAATGGGTGCGGGAAGTACACAAGAAGCGGGATTTATCCCGTCGTGATCTTGTCGGAGTTGAAAAGACCTTTGACATTGGCTCTTTTCACGCTTATGCGGGTTCCTTCGATGAAGAAACCTTGACAGAAATCCAGGCAAATGACGAGGTACGTCGAGTCGAAAAAGACGATTGTGGAATTATGTTTGACGTCTGTCATAGATCGAGCGTGTGGAGCCAGATACTTCCATCTATCCGTTCGACGTCGTGTCCCAGCAGCAAGCGACCTGGGGTTTGGGCACGATCTCACAAGTGGCCCCTATCGATGCAAATGCCAGCCTTAAAGATGGATTTGAGTATCTCCATGATGAAAACGGTGGGAAAGGTACGTTTGCATACGTGATTGATACTGGTGTCTGGGTCGACAATCCCGACTTTGAAGGGCGGGCCGAACTAGGATACACAGTATTTGCGGACATCCCTTTCGAGGACAGCACTGGTCACGGCACGCATGTTGCTGGAACTATCGCATCGAAGACATGGGGAGTTGCAAAGAAAGCGCGTGTGATTGCTGTCAAAGTCATTGCACCTGGCCGAGTAAGTAACTTAAAGGAACGACGGAGACGCTGAGGCTAACATACATCTGCAGGGTGTCATGTCGGACTTTATGGATGGATTCTCTTGGACTGTGAACAACATCACGGCGATCCCTGGTCGTGCTGCCGTGTCAGTGATCAACATGAGCCTGGGTGAGTCATATGTAGCTGGAAAATTGGTTTGAAAAAGCTGACCCCATTAAGGCGGCCCAATCAACTACGCATTTGATAGCCTGGTGCACGCAGCATCCGAGCAGGGAATTCTATCAGTCGTCGCTGCCGGCAACGCCGGTGTTGATGTGAACCGCATATCTCCAGCAGGGGTGGTTAGTGCTATTACGGTCGCAGCCATCGCTGCAAACAACACCGTTCTAAGCTACAGCAACTTTGGGTCTAAAGTCGACTTGTATGCTCCAGGAGTTGACGTGTACTCGCTTTCATTAGAGGCAGGAAAGGACGTAGCATTGACTGGCACATCTATGGCCTCGCCGCACGTTTCTGGCCTGGTGCTATATCTGAAGAGCCTGGAAGGAGGCCTAGAGTCTGTCGAGGCAGTAACTGCCAGAATCTTGGAGCTGGCCAAGCCAGACGTCATTGATGGAGTACCAGAGTACACGCCCAATCTGCTCGCATACAACGGAGTCGAACCAAGGCTGCAGCAAAGAGGGCCAGAGTAGTCTCTGAGACATGAGTAAATCATCTTTGGCAAAAGTAATGGGATGATGCATCATACGACTCAGCCCACGCTGCCATGCCGGCATCATGGGGAAAGACAATTCAAGCGCTTCCAGACCATGCTATTCCTTTAACACCGAAGGAAATCCAATTATAACTCCGAACTTTCTGGTCTGGACCCAGACAAGAATGGATTCGAGGACTTTCGGGTGTCTTGCCGTGCCATTTCCCCGCCTTGATAAGCCGTCACACGGGTGCATCTCCGGTCTTGAAGGGGCGTGAGATGTGGGGTTGTAGTGACTAGGTTCACTCCCACAGAGGTCAACTACAGCTCTTTCACTCCCATTTAAAGTAGCGAACCCCCCAAGAATATGGTTTTCTCAGTCGTAAATGTAGATATCCAACAAACAAATTTGCCGAATCTATACGCAACCTACAATGGTATTGAACTACGACTTCAAAGCCCATCTCAGTCTGGCTCCAGCCGCAGCACTTGGGCTATCCATTGGTATTCTTGCCTGGATAATCTCCTCAGCAGTAGGGCTCGTCTCTATGTTCTCACCTTCGTTCATGACTGACATGGAATACGAAGATTAGGAAATGGCCTCATTTCAACCGCCCCAAGTCAGTTATCAGACAGGTCGAGAGTCAGGCTCTTAACGTGCCGACCAAGGCCCCTTTGCAACGGCTTGAGAACTTCGACTGGACGTCCACATCACCAAAGAAATTCAGGCCCTTTAAGCCGATTTATCACATCACTATGGGTTCGTGTACTTTATAGGAATGTCCGTGGGACCAGTTCTGACAACTCTGGGTGAAGCCCTACAGTCTGACACGCCGTCCGACCTGGTCACAATCGACAAAGACTACCTCGAACGAATAAATCTTCGCAAAAGCCTCATCAATCAACACGGCCAGACAGTTCATGGATACGTTCCATCTGGAAGAGATGCGGTGCAAGAGCTTTACAGCTACCTGATGTCGGAGTACCTGCCCACTCGATACCCCACATTATTCGACCTAGCGGAAAACGGCGCCATAATTAAGAATGAGGTGACGCGAGATGAGTACTCAGTCGAACCCCCTATGGATACACTCGCTGCCCTACGTGCAGTGGGCACGTCAATCGAAGAGGACATTTTCATCCTCAAACCAACACCTGATGGACATCAGTGTGTGGCATTCATGTGCTGCTTCCCATCAGGATGGAATCCTGCCTCAAAACTTGGTCAACATATGAACGCAATCCACACAACTGTCCCAGCCTATGAAAAAACAGGACCAAGCATGGAACGTTTCTTCACAAAGCTGAAAGCCGGAGAGAGCGTCAAGCGTGTCAATGTTAAGTCCAACTCGCAAGCAGAAAGTGCTCGAAGTGTATAAGCTAACGCATTAGGAACCAAAGTGGACGATTCAGACGCACACCAGTCTGTATAATGCGAAGGGGAACCACATCCACGGCGAATATAAGGTGGATCCCGAAGAGCACATCGATGCGGAAAAGGTAGATACAGAAAGATCCGTGAAGTTGAAGACAGAACGAGCCAGCTGACACATGCAAAGGCATTTGTGCGATGCGAATTGCAAACTTTGAGTCGGCTCCCGAAGTCACACAGCATTCTCTTTTCATTCACGACGTACTTGTACCCCCTGAACGAAATCAAGGCCGAGGGCATGGCTACTGCGCTTGCTGATGCAATCGAGGGTTTGAGAAAAGGGAACTGCCCCGGAATGTGGAAGTATAAAAGCGCTGTTAGATGGGGCAAACCGGTTTGCGAGTACCTACGCAGTGCCTGAGTTCATGATCGCATTGGAACGCGCTAGCTATAAAACTATTATTTTGCACCCAAATAGTAAATTTTCGTCAAGTTGTTATCGTAATTCTGTCTTTCGTGTTAATGTCAGGAAATTCCATGCCAAATTTTAGTCAAATATCCAATATGTGGGAAGTGTTAACTGTGAGGAAAGAGACGCGCGTGCTCTCTTGCATTAGACGCCTTTGTTGAGATCGAGGACTGACACATCTTTCGGTCAGGCTACAACAGAAGTCGAATCACAGAAAAGGTGAAGACGAAGAGACGCGGAGAGTTAGCTGGCGGAACTGGAAGAGCAAGGTGGCGTGTGTGTAGCAAGTGTCCATCAAAATTGGGTGTACCCCAGTCAATCCCAAATCTAGATCCTGGGGATACGCCATTTACGCGGGTTGCGGCGATACGCTAGACACGCTTTGGGTCCCACACCTGACAGATGGCTGCCAGTGGGATGCATGACGGACTGCCAAAAAGGAAAGTCAAAGGAGACCTAAATACTTGCACATAAACCGACGTTGGCCGATGAATGGTGGGCAAAGACCGTTGACCACATGCGAACATGCAGGTGCAATCGATATTCAGATCGACCTTCTCTTTGCTGTTGATTACGTTGGGCAAGGTGAATCTTACAGTCCTGCTGTCCAAAATTGCCCATCAAAAGCTGTGTACGAATTAGCACACTGTGAAATGGGAGCATTGCTTTCATCCCGATTATCATCATGGTTCCTGTCCATATCCACATCATAGCTGCTGTTGCCCCAAGCTTGTCGCCCGTATCATCCATATGCGCGCATGGCAGCAATGTGTACTTTGAGCCATACAAGAACATAGAATCTTCACGTTCTGTGCACTAAAGGCACAATTCATAAGTCACATGTGTCTCGGTATGGTATCCTGATATACATGCTGTCCTCGTAGGTCCTCAGTCCCGAGCTCCGAAGTCGGCACGGGTGGCGCTGAATCGGGATCCGAATTTCAAGAATCACGCGGTGGGACGGGATATCTTCAAATGAGCACGAGTGAAACATTCCAGTCATTCCCAAGAACTTAGTGATGTAGCAAGAAGGTGCTCAGAGTACATCCAATGTTAAGTCATACGTTTGATCGATCTGACACACTTTTCCGAATTATGGAAGATAATTAGTCCTACAGGAGAGGATTATCTAGTCCAAATTGGGTATCCTCAAGATTTGACCTACCGGACTCCAAGCTCTGGCAAATATTGCGTTTCAGTCCTGTAAGTTGATGTGTAAATTCCCCAGAAAACATAAATTTGACTAATTCGTAGCAGCTACATTGTGGACGGTAACTCTGTCTTTCTGACTGCGCTCGAATCACTACATCGGCGGCTGTCGATGCTACCACAATGATTCAATGGCGGAGTCATCGTTGCTGTCAGATACCCTTTCCCCCCAGACTCAAAGACAGTGATGAGCCCTCGGCGGACAAAGGACCTCACTCCGCCTGCTGAAGGAACGTCTGCGTTGAAGGGGGGAGCTGATGCTTTTCTCGGCTTGATCCAAGTCAAGGTGAAAGATCTGGTTCAACGAAGGCTTCGGGAAATTTGTGGCGCTATCATTGGAAAGGAGGCACTCTATGGCCACTCCCTTGGAGGTCTCTTTGCTTTACATGTCCTTTTCACTGGACCGAATAGTCTCGACTGCTATTCGTCTAGGAGTCCAAGCACTTGGTGGAATGGCCACTTTGTCCTGAAAGAGGAGATCGTGTTCTGTGGAACTGAATGCCATTTGTGTTTCGCCGCCTCCTTACTGTTGACCGTCGGCGGACAGGAACAGAATCCCTGGAGAAGGCGAGGTGAAGGCGATGGTTGTTAGAAAGAGGGAGAGCAGATCGGCGCCAGCAGCGAAAGATGGTGGATAATGTCTTGGCGGTGGAAAAACGCCCTCAGGAAAATGGGAAGACTGAGTACCTCGTCGCTCATGTTTATGACGGAGAGGATCATGGAACAGTTGTTGCCTGTTCATTGAGTAGAGGGTCGGCGACGTTCTTCGAGTACTGCCCCTTTGCAACAGAAGACTGAATGTCAAAATACGAAGTTCCCCATAGACTCAGTCTCATCTCAAACAATGAAGAAACAAAATCATGGTTAGACACCGCGAGTCTTGTTGGCCTCAACAGTGACGGCTTTCAACCTCACCTACCCCGTCGTTATTGATTTTGTCCAGGCCCTCGCCACCCTCCTGCGGTATGCTCGATCCTTGTGTCTGAAGCAAGTCGAAATTTTTGACAAACCACATTATAATTATCATCGGACCTAGCGCGCATGTAGCAGCAATAGCAAGCAGCTGTTGAGTCTCACGGTATGAAACGTCGATTGCCTGTCGCTCAGTGGTGCCGACGAGAAAATTCCGTGCAACGACAATGGACGCGAAGATGGACCTTGCCTTGGACTCGGAAGTGGATGGGAGATATTTCCCAAGTTTTGTCAGAAGGTTTGAATGCCAAACGGCACCAGAAATACTGACAACAGATCAGGCGACGAACACCCCGTTATGGTTCGCAAGCCACGTACCTTGTCCCAATAACGCCACCAAGATTCATGCTCGCGAAAAACACTCCTGCAGCGACGGCGACGTCATCCCAGTCAACGACCGCCTGGATGCAAACCCGGACTGTAATTTGATAGAGCCCTCTGCCAACTCCGACTAGCGCCTTTGCGGCACGAGCTCCATGCATGTTGACGAGGTAGATTTGTAGGCCCTGGCCTAGAGTACAAAGGGGAACACCAGCCGAGACCCATCGTTTTGCTTTTTTGGGATAGTGCATGAGGAGCGCACCAAGCATGGACGAGATCTGGAAAGCGACGCGCAAAGATTTGCCGAAAAAAGCAAAGGCTACTTAAATAATTCGAAGAAGACCAACATGAACGAAGGGTACAAATGAATCCTGGTCGCATGTCCAGCAAAGAAATTACCGGCAACTTGCAGGTGGCTGGGCAAAAATACCAAAAACAAGGGGTAGTGCACAAAATCGAGGACGTAATTAGAGCCCACAAGCAGCTGCGACGGTCCTGTGTCTCACAAGTCGGAAAAGAACGAACGGTCGTTCTGCCCAATGAGAGTCCCCGACAAAAAAGAGCAGGAATAGCATAAATCCAATCACCACCATATCAACGAAGCTTCCTCTGCCCACGAAGTGCTGTTTTGCGATCCAGTAAGGGGTATAGGAATCAGGATCAGTGATAAGCCACCGATCAGAAGGAGATATCCAGGAATATCAAGCTCCCCCATATGATTTTGTAGCCGTTGACCCAAAAAGAGTCGCTGGACTGAATATCTTGCAATAGTCTGGGACGCGCCCTGCTTCCAAATCGACCTCTATCTTTGAGCTTGAGAACAAACAGGGTCAAAAGTGGCGGGAGTGTGACGACCGGGACTACAATGGCCCACATGTCGTAGCCCCATCGCCAGGCCAAGTGGTCCAGGAAGGTCTGTGCAACGATCGTCACCAGATACAGCGTTGGAATGGCGCTGATTGTGTCTAGGACAGAGAGCTATATACCACGGTTACGCAAAATATTGAGATCGGAAATAAAAGTCTGCCGAGTGATGCCAAATCCCACGCTGCCGACGGCGTCGAACAAGCTGCCTACCTAGGAGTGCAGAGACGAGTAAAAATCAGTGAGGGCAGAACACGAGTGACTAGTACTTACGTAGGGAGTTTCTTTGCTTTGGCATGCTGCCATAAGAACGAGTGAAAGGGCGGTGAACATTGTGGAAAAAGTGAAAAGCTCAAAGCGTCCGAATAACTACCGAAGTAATAATTGTTTCCAGTAAAAGACGCAAGCGGAGTAATTCCTTACGTCGGAACGTTTGGCAATGATTAGATATGACAGAAGACTGGCAACTGTTCCAACAACGCTGGAAGCACTCAGAAGGGAATGCCCCTTCAAAGCGCTTGTGACGTAGGCACTGTACGTGGATGTAGAATACGTGACGAACGAATCCACGAAGGTTAGAAGATTAACCCTATGAAGACCAGACTTTCTTAGCTGATTTAATCTTTCACTTGAATGTTGGATGAACGTACCCTAAAAAGGCCACAACAATCCATTTATTGGGAGCTCTTTTGAGGAGATCCGACTGGAGAACGGCAAGAAAGCCGGCCGGTGAACAGTTCAGACTTCTCATCCGTTGAGAACCCATTGCGATGATGATTGCAGGTCTGATGTGTATGTGTGTTTGTGTAAAAGCGGGCAGGCCGCAGCTATCAAAAACTGCTCAAGGCTTGAGTATTTAAAATGCGCTAGACTTTGTATCTCAAACTTGTTGATGGGTTGCCGACGCACTTGTCTTGCATCCCATGAACGTGTCGTTTCCACCCCTCGCTGAGCTTGAGGTTTCAACCCAGTTACCGAGCCTGACTTCTAGCTGCCATACGACTTCGTCTGCTTCTGGATCTCATTCCGCGGTATGATCTTATCAGGTCCGATGAAAAGCATCAGACCACGTGGATTCATCATCGGATATGGGCTCGATACTGTCGGCTAGAAACCGTCTCGGCGAAAAATAGCCAGTTATCGGCCTGAACCCTGGACACCAAGATACTAGC